AAAAATACAGGAATCGAATGCATTTCTTGACTTACAATCCACAGGCCATCAAACTTGATGCTTTTTGAGGGGTCGGTGGGATTGTTGTAGAACTCGAGGATTTCTCTCTTCCACCACTCCACTGTGGAGTTGCGGAAGAAGTCTGGGAAAGCAGCATGTGCTCCGTACATCTGTAAAAATAGTGGGAAAACAAAACAGATACAGGATTGAAAGCATCCTGCTGTTAACATGTTGGAATTTGTTACAAAAATTAAAAATAAAAAAAATAAAAAAAGAAGAATTTACTTTTTTTGGCTCTAGCCAGTTTCTGCACCTTATTTCTCCCATGAGATTTATCAACCAGTGTGCTGCTGTTTTCCTTAAGTAACATTCTGCTCTCTTATATATTTGACTCCATAACCAAACCACATCAACCTTTACCTGTATTTGGGTTTGCTCAGGCAGTGACTCATCGACTTGTACGTTGGGAAGAAATGGCCAGACCTAATAAGACAAAATTTTAAAATAATCAAACCACACTGAATATAAACTGAGCATCAGCAACAGACAGCTATAACCACTGTTCCCTGATGCCTGCATAGATGACAACACAAACTGAAGACAATTCCGTTTGTTGTCTTTATTCAATGTGTCATTCAGAGCCAGGCATTAATATGCCATTAGCAGACTTTCCCTCTATGGATAGCACTGAAGTCTAGGCTGACACATTGCTCACTTGGATGCAGCATGCCCCTACTGTCAGCAACTGTGTAAGAACCATACCTTGGAATATATAATGTCATTGGTATTCGGACCATTTTATGAAGACATCGTCCTGCACCCCTCTGGAGAAGGTAGGATAGTTGGTTTCATTTCCAGAGATGGCTGGATCCTATAATTAAAAACACTTTTCCCCTTACACTCAAAAAACAAATTTAAAAATACTGTTGACTATATTCTGCAATGATATATTGAACTGTAAAAGCAGTATGTAATGGAAAAACTGACCAGGATAATGATAAATCTCATTCCGTCGTCTTTTATTCTGTTAATTAGAGCTGGTAATCCAGCAAAGCGTGTGCTGATGGTGAAGTCCAGTTGCCTTTCCATGTGGTCGATATCTGCATATTGGACATCCTGCAATTCACAAAAACAATTAATGTAAAATGAATTTGCTTCTTTTTTCGTCAAATACATATTTATTGAAAATCTGCCAAAATAAGTAAACTACTGAACTTTTGAACTGTAAAATTGGAAGTAGCTGCAACTTTAAGCTAAAGCTATTAAATGAATATTACACAAGCTATCAGCAAGTCCAATACAAAATAAACCTTTCACTGCTGCATCTAGGCTGAGGGTGGAAACTAATACGTGTCAGAGAAAAGGGTCCTGGATTTTTACATACATGAACGTACACAGAAACTGCACGTATGTTACCATATCTATAAGGAAACAGTGGAAACAGTTGTTCTGTATTGAAATAGTGATGTTAATTACATTTAAAATGAAGTCACATTCAATTTATAGGATAATCTTGTTAGATCTATGTGCTATTCCAACTGTCCCAACAACCACCTGTGTCAAATCATAGCTGACTTGACACAGAGCAATATGCCATTGAAATGATGCTGCTTCATTTTCTTTCCTCGTGTTTTTTTAACTGATCACTGCTCCTTCAGAGCCAACGGGGCGAAAGCCCATGACTAACTGATATATCTGGGTGCTTCGTTGGTATAAATGATAACGAAAATAAAGCAGCCTAAGGTCTACATTTAGCATGGCCCAGGGTGTGAAGAGATGGTCAGCTCTGACACGAAACTGCTCTACGCTATTGTGGTGGTGGCATTTTTGGTTGGTTTTTGATATTGTGTTTAAATAGTCTTTGTTAATACTGTGAAGCCACAAGTTCAGGCATGAGCTCAGATGTTAACTGCTACCAGCATACATAGGGAATCCCAGCTGCCTTCATATCCTCCACCAGCTGGGCAATCTCTGAGTCGTTGGTGTATCCGTAGCGGCACAACTGGAATCCCAAAGACCAGTAAGGTGGCATGACCGGTCGTCCAATCAGCTAAAAATAAGAAAGAATATGTATGGTGAATACGTGAAAACAAAACCAATCCACCCACCAAAAACCAGCATTATTTTGTAACAGAGAAAGAATCCTACTGCAGTGTACTCCTGAACAACAAGTTCTGGTGTTGGGCCCAAAACCATGTAGAAGTCAAGAATTCCTCCAGTGGTGCGGTATATCAGGGCAGGGGTTGGCTGGAATGTCACATCTGGAAATGGGAGGAAGGAAGTGAAATGAGAAAAGGAAGCCGGGATTCACCACTATCGCAAAACACTGACCACAAAAATAAAACAGATTGAGATAATAAAGTGGAAGTTTTCTTACCCATTGCATTGCTGTTAAGCAAGAGAACCCCATGGGCATTGCCATCTTCTTCGAGAGCCATGTAAAATGGCTGATAACCATAGGAATTCAACTTGTACTGCAAACAAAATGCATTTTACTGGGGAAACATCACAAACATTTCCTTACATTTGTGAATAATTTTAATAAAAGATGAGACACAACTGCCAAACGTAAACTCCAAAATATATACTTAAACTCTACATACCTACTAAACATATCTACAGATCACTTTCAACTCCACAGTTTGAGTCAGTTCGACTCTGACTGACCAGGCAAGAAGGAAAGCAAAGGTATTGCTGCCTTTAAAACTTGCTAATGAGAAAGTGCTTTCCCAGGACAAAACTTTCCCTTCTTTTCAGACAGTAGCAGGTGTCTATATGATCAGGAGATGCTGGTGACATTCTGTCATCTTTCCTTTACTGAAAAATATATTCAAAGCTGAACTGAAAAGCAGAGTTATAATTAACCATCAGTATTTCATTGGTCATTCCCTGAAAAATGCAAACATTGTGCTATCATGTAGGAAATAACACAAATATACACATAGACATAAGATTTCCGATTTAGCTCTGTAAGTACTAAATTGATCTCAAAGTAGTAGGAGTTGTCCTGACTCACGTCTAGCTTTCAGAATAATTAACTGAGAAGAATAAAAAAAGGAGGAATGTGCTCTTATTTCTAAGCCATTTGTTGTTGGGCCTGAGCCCACACATTGATCATGCTGGTCACAAAGAAGAGGTTTTGAGAAGAGCACTGTCATTGAGACACCATCCCAATGATAAGCCATGATACACATGATCAAAGCCAACAGGTATGTCCAATACCAGCAGACAACGCTGGACTTTAAAGTCTGGCTGAACACCTCCGCACGTGAGGCTCATCGGTCCAAAAGCCACATTTGCTGCTACTTACAGAAGGAGGCTGGTCCCTTGCAAACATTCCCCAGGTGTGCCAGCTCATGTTGCGTCGAAACATGGTGTGCTCAGTTTCTCCAAATCCATATATGTACTGGGATGCTAAGCGGGTAGAAATCTGAATGAACATGTCACTGAACGTGAAGGTGGGCAGCTGCGAATCCCAGCTAAAATGGAAAGAGGAAAACAAATACAATAATAGAACATCCTCAGGGCTCTGTTTAGCTGGCAGACACTTTTTTTAGACTACTCTTTTTCTCTGAAAAATCTCACTCTTCGGTAAAGGTGGATGAAACTGTTATGGTTATTGAGAAAACTTAAACCACATGAAGTAGGGATGTCTAAGAATTTGATACACAGTTTAGAGACACAAAGTCCTCTGTGTCTCTGAGAGAGATTTATATTATGCCCAGGCACCATGCACAGCAAGTTGCATCATATTTTGACAATTTAGTGAGAAAATGTGTTTCAGGAGAGTATGATCATATTTTCCTTCCAGACTGATCCTTGGTGCTACCTAGACTATAGTAAATAAGGTGCTTTTTACAGTTCACTGCACTCTTTGTGCAGATTACACTGAAATCATATTCATAGGTCTCATTTGTTGTAAATCAGCATCTTTAGAGTTGGAAACCAAACTGCAACCTGATGGTGCTCTGCCAAAAAACAGCATCGTTCCAGGAGGTTGAGTTGCCGTTTGAATTATCAGTCTGGTTGCCAAAAAGGAACTCAGCTTGCACTTAAGTTTTGACTATTTTAAATAATGACGTAAGTATAGGGGTTTTTGAATAAAAAACGTAACACACACAACCATAACATCACTGTTCTCTGTTTTCTAGCTCTGATTTAAGCTTAATCAAGGAAAATAAACCGATGTTCCTGTCAGAATTATTAACTGTCATGTTACCAAAATCCACCTGCAAGTTGAGACACTACTTTCTTCTATTTTTTTTTTTTTTCTAACCATTGCCCAAAACTAAACCAAATGAACAATCCTTAACGATCAGTAAGTGTGGTCACCTAAGGGAAATTTTAGGAAGTGTAGAAAATTATTGTGCCTCCCAGAGACTGGGAACTACACAAGAAATGGCCTTTGGATTTGTCTATGCCCTGCGCTTCATGTTGAACAGGACTTTTATCAAGTGTCAGACTATGAAATGACATAGGAGAAACCTTAGATAATTCTGAGAAAAAACAGGATATTGCTCAGGGCAGCTTCTCCATCCTCCTCCTAGTCATTGTTTTCATACAATGCAATGGTGAAGCAACACCTGGCATTTGGCAGCCAGAGCCATGGCATGGGAAGGGTACAAACGCCAGTCTTAAGGTATTTAAAACATAGTACACAGGAAAATGGTTTGGCTTGAAAAGAACTAACAAAACCAAGTGAAATAAAATGACTATGGCTTACATGATTGTTCCTGTGCTTTTGCGCCGAACTTGTATACCAAATGGTTTTTTCTGAACTGATACTTCATAGAGTCGTTCCTTGTTCGTACTCATTGGGGAGCTCGGGAGATTTAGTGGTACCGGAACCTCGTATCGTGCATTTTGATAATCATAAATCTACGAAGAAAAAACTATTCATTTCAGTGGATTAATTCTTTAAAATCTCACCTATAGTGATAGAAATCTAAATCTGACAGAAAATTATTGAAAACACTTGCTCAGTATTTTCTTTCAACATGTATCCTTTGACCAATTTTTCACAGTATTTGGTTTGGGAAAAAAAACAAAACAAAAAACCCAACAACAAACCTTAAGGATTTATTCTGGAAGAGAAATAGCTTCTCAATTATTTATATTAAAGTGTATACTTGTGTTTAAAATATAAGTGTATATATACATGTGATAAATATTTTTCTGATTCATCTTTTACTCAAATTTGAGAGGGGTTTTTTTTTTTAAGTTTTCTGTATTCTGAAAGCTGATAGAGATAGTTTTTGATGCCTGACCATTTTGTGGCATCACATTTATTTCAGGATTATTAAATGCAGAGTAATAAATTATAGTCTAAACAAAGGTGTATAAAAATTTTAGAAGTAGAATGATTAATGTAAAAATAAACTGTACAGTCTTGATAACGCTTACAGATAAATTCACCTGTATATTTATAAAACATCTTCAATTCCAGTTTCAGGTCGACATTACACATATACATTGACATTATATCTTTGATTCATATAATTTCATTGCAAAATCAAATACAAAATTCTAGGATAAAAAAATATCACACTAAGAGCAATGACAACTAATTGGTTAGAAGGAGAAACATATTTAGGCAAGGGTGCTACTGTCTGTGTAATATAAAACTGAGTATAAATAGCCTTCATAATTTCCATAAATAAAGCTATTTTTAACAATGGGACATTACATACTCATAGAAATTCTGGAATGACATTACCTTAAATTGCAGCATGTGGTTGAGATGATATTTCACCTCCAAGCGTAGTGTACTAATTGGTGTAGTGAAATTCTCATTAGCTCTGGTCTTGGCACTGTTTAAGGTGAGGTTGGCTGCCAAACCTGACGAGGTGTATTCTACTTTGTCTACAGAGTAAGCATTGTTGGAGCTGTAATAGCAGGGTGGAATGTCCAAGTTTGATGTTACCTCCTGCAAATAGAAATAAGTTAGAGTTTAGTGAGCTACACTGGCCTCCTGTATTTTTTTAGTGCTTAGCAGGGAATCAAAATTTTTATGAGATAATCTGTCAAATGTAGAATTTGGTGAAGAACTTAACGTAACTAGTGAACAATAAAGAAGTGATACAGAACCCACTGATCTCTACACTAAGTCGGATATAACCAAACAACCTAGTGAAGGCTTTACAAATACTTCAGTCAGGAAACAAAATCCTTGTACAATGAAGGTGGATTTAATTTCCCTATGACTGTAATCTTCCAATCAGTCCCACAACATGCCTTAGTTTTGTTGAAATTACAAAAACTTTCTCCCTTTTAATCCCATTGCTCTCTGGTCTGTGGCTGCCTTCAAGGGGATGTGCCCCAAATCCATTAGATGTTCAGGCAACATCAGATGAGACCTTTCCATTGACTTTATTCACACAAATTATCCTTAAAACATACACTGAAAATTACATCGTATTTATCTAAGGTCTCCTGACAGCAAGATCAAAATTACTTTCAGTTTCCTGCTACAGTGGAACATAAACACTCAAAGAAGGTATTCTGAGGTGAGGCGAGCTGATGTAGGTTAATGCATTGCCCTTCCACCTCTGGATACTTACCATCAATCCTGCCTAGCTGTTCACATGAAACCATGCCTGCTCCACACATCTTAATTGCTAATGGGTATTTATTCATCTGTCCTCACCAAAAACCAAAGCACCTTTCAACTGGAGCAAGTGTTCAAAACATACCCAGTCCATAACAGCACCAGAGCTTGATTTCACATGGAAAGTCATTTCCAAATGTCCACAATTACAAAAAATTTCCTAATAGTGCAACAAAATCAGGACAGTCCCTCAGCCCCTTCAGCTGTTGCTGGTTCTAGAGTAGCCAGCAGAGAATTTTGCCCTTCGTGCCTAGGATATGTGTCCAAGCTGTAAGTTTTAGAGGACTAATTTAGTGGAGGGACCCTCTGAAGCTCAACTCTGCCAAGGCACACAATCCTGTATGTTTCCAGCCGTGGGATATTAATAAATAAAAAATTTATGTGGTAAAGAACAGCGTGTCAGGAATTAGGATTTGGAAATAGCTCCTCAACATGGATATAAACAACTAAGTTCACATGAGAATCAAAATTTGGGGGGGATTCAAGATTTCTTCTCAAAATGAGATCCAGAGGATTTGATTTGACTTAAAACTTGCTTCAGTGACTGGGAAGGCAAGACAAAGGGGATAGACCTTGCAGGCCATGGTGCTGGTGAAGCAGAAGAGGCAGCTGAAGAGGCAGATCCCAGGGCTATTCTATTTTTTCATAACTCTAATATTCTTTCTTTCCATCTTTCAAAAAGTAACACATTTTTCCTCAATTTCTGATATAATTTGGAAGAGCTTACATAGTTGCCAACTACCTTAGTTTAAGTGAGGTAAATTAAATCTGTTAGCATAGGCCAGCTGACGTCTGCATCCCCATTTTATTTAAATCTGACAAATCTGTCAGACTACTTCTTCTACTGTAACAACTATAAAAAGAAAGCTAGGATTCTAGAAATGTTCTGTCTCATTAGTTTAGAGAAATAATATTTGCTTACTTCCCAGACACAGCCAAGTTGTTCACATTTTTCTTGTGTTGGATTGGGACTGGGATAACAATTAAACCTTTCGTTTACACTCAGTCGTTGAGTCCATTTTACTGTGTAAGATTTTCCCAGTTCAAGCTGAAGTCCTGTTATATGAGCAACCTATAAATATTAAACATTAAACAGTTATTAAATCCCAGATCACATCCCTCATTCCTTCAGTCAGCAGAGAAGCTGGTCTCAGGAGCAATACATTTTGCGACGTGACAACTCACAAACCCCCTGTGCTGCAGCATTTGATATAGTCTCACTTTTACAAATACACACAGCTGATTCTTGCAAATAAAATCTTGAAAATTAAGAATCTAATTAAGATATTGAGTCAATCCCACAGTTTCCTTGCAAGGAGAGGAATAAAGGAAAGGGCAGAGCTCCTTCACATTTTGAAATATCAGTGAAAAAGGTAAGGCAAAGTTAAAATATTTTTGATTCAGCAGCTGAGATAACAGGTAACTCAGGTGCTTGTAATAATTAAAGACGGTGTACAATGCAAGTTCAAAGCAACATCAACATTATCTTTTTCTGTGGGAAAGCACTTTCATGGAAGCTTCCCACTAGCAGCAGCACATTCATTCTCTCTGCACATAAACGTACTGTGTTGCTGCTTTCCTCTATTCATCCTGTGAAAAACCTCTGTATAAAGTGATAAAGGTTTAAACAGTGTGCTTGATTTTGTTTTTAAAATCAATGCAGAAATGCCCATCTAAGATACAAGTTTTTATTACCCTCCTCCAAAATCCAACAAAACCACAAAGCTATACCTCCTCTCAGAAATCAAGTGTCGCTATATGAATAACTATAAACTTTCTGCTGCACTGAGGGTCTGAGAACAAAACGTAGGTGCACATTCTACAGAGCTGAGTTGAATGCAATTGTACTTTTGTTCTGTAATAAAATACACGATGTGTTCTCTTGAGATTACATTAGTACTGAGTACGGTGCTTTACAATATATAAAATAAAGGTGATGCAATTTGAAAGATGTTTACTTCAGATTTTCCTGTTGGCATTTTACCTTTTCTAAAGGATAATAGGTGATATTGTGCGGAGAGTTTTCCACAACATTGTTCTGAGATACAGTAACTGATGTTATTTCCTGGGGCGTTCCCAGTATCTTGATTTCTTCAAATTTCAAGTTGTTAGGATCAGTATAATTGCTGTTTACAGCAGTCATTTGTAGAACATTCTGAAAAACAATAGAATGATCAAATTCTTATTGAAAAATATCTGTCAAAAGTCATCCGGATTTAACAATATTTTCTAATTAGATCTTCTTACTTTAGCATAAAGTAAGTCAATACCTTTTTCCTAACATATTAATTATTGCCAGGCTTGTTATTCACAATTGTGCTTTTCTACAATGTCTGTAATGTGCTTCATAGTTTTGTTTCAGCTTCTTTTATTTTTGGCTTGTTTTGGAAATAAGAGAAGGTTGACACGTCTCTGTGACAGAGCAGATAACCTCTACTTGACTGCGATCCTGTCGTGTTCTAACAAGGGAAGGTTCATATTCACTTTTCATGATATAAAATTACCAGTTTCTATTCAATTGCATTCCTTATTATTAGATTAAGAATCTAAACAGTGGAACTGTACCATGACTGTCACAATTGCTAGTGTAAAACTTCCTTATTATTTGCCGCATTAATATATATGTTAATTTTTAATTCAACATCATTAAGGTCAACTGATGATTTGGCTACAAGTTTCAAACTCCAATAGTAACGGAGGTTTCCGATTTACAAAGAATTATATGATTATATATAATTTAAAAAAATAACTAATGCATGTGCTTCCACTTTTTATTACTCTGCTTCCATTCCTGATTTGCTGTACATTCTCTCTCAGATGCTGCCCTGCTGCTTCACCATGACAAGGGTAAGAATATCTTTAGCAGATATTATTATACACAAAAAAATGTTCTATTACTTGGAATCTTTGTCATACGGTATCTGTGGGCAGTACTGAATAGAAACACTATCTGGATTTCACTCTGACAGAAGTTAACCCTGCCAAGGCAGTTTCAGTTTAAAAAAATTTTTAAACTAAAACTTTGTCACTCAGTAGATTCTGTGGGTTCAGTCAAGGTGTAGGTCTTCCTCTCGCTTTTTGGAAACATTCAATTATATTTTCATGGTGTATAAAGATTTTTTTTCAAATTTCCAATATTTCAAGAATCACAAACACTACATTCACCTTCTTTTTGACTCTCTTGTAACTGATGTTTTATAGTTCTCTTGCTCAATAAATATTGCTGCTGAGTTTATGTGAAACAGTCTTTAGAGACTTATATTAACTAGGAGAAGAAAAGATAAATAACAGATCTTCATCCCAGTTAAATGACAGTATTTTGAACGTGGTTCTGATTTGACTTTGACAAATATTTTGCTTCTCAGTAAGTCTTACAGGAGAATGAGGGAGAAAATAATGCCTTTTAAAGAGACCATTGATAAAAATCTAAAATTAAGATAAGGTCATTTAAAATTAAATACTTACATTGGAAACAGTGAACTCATAGTAAATGTAGGCTTTACTCTCAACTGTACCTAAAAAGTAAAGAAAGAAGTTACACTTGCAGTGCACAAAGGAACAGCATTAAAAAGCCAGGACTGTGTCACTGCTAGGAACCAATAAATTGCTAATTACTATCATTACTGCATTCAGAGAATGCACTGGGCAACTCAGATATTCACTAATGTTTCTTTGAGGAACTTAAATTTCTCCTCCTCTTTTTTCCTTTCAGCCAGTCTCCCAGGAGAGCCAAATTTTCCAAAAATTTATTGTACATTTTCCAAAATGTACTGATTTTTTATTTGACTGCTATTCCTTCTTATCTCCTCTTAAATGTAGATATATGGCTTAAAGTTAATCCTTTAAAATAGCCTAAATAAGTGCTTTTCATGCATAACTGACAATAATATTAATAACCTCTGCCACAGAAGCATAAGAAAGGAAATAACACACGACCCGGAAAAATAATTTTAAAAGTTGAATCCATATGTCATTTTTTTTCATGTATGAAGATAAAAATACTGTCATTACAAGCGAATTGTAAACAGTTTCCCTGAAAAAATTGCAACCTCTAAGTTTTGAACAGGAAATAAAATCATACGCTGTTTTATTGTTTTGTTTCTCAACAGAAGTGAGTACAATAATAGCTTCGTTATTTTAGGCTTTGACAAAGGAGTACATATAGCTGTCACCCATACATATAGCAACCACCCAAGGCCTTCAATATTTATGGCAGCAATAATCAGCTGAATCACAGCTCTATTTCTTAAAAGCATCCCTAACTTTCATGAAATTTAAGAAAGTAGTGCCTTGAAAGTTTTTCTGGGAGATATGATTGGTAGAGTTAAAACAACAAAGGGCAGTTATAAAAGTAAAATGTGTAAACTTTTCTCTTTTTTTTTTTTCTTTCCAATTAATTTTCTAATATTGCCACCACTTTTCCTCTGAAGAACAAACATGTTACTTCCTGGTGTTTTCTGTAGTCGTCCCGCTAACAGACTTCACAATATCCTCCACTAACATCTTCTGCAGGCTGCAAAAACCCTTCACACTACAGACTGCTGAGCTGAGATTTCTGATGTACATGTGGCAATAGGAAATATCTGATGGGGAGTTTGGCACTTCAAGGAGACCAGTGAGTGAAGCTGAGGCTTTCACAGAAGTGCTTTGGTCAATGGAGGGCTCCCTAGCCATGCCCCCTCCTGTCCCAGCCTTCTCCCGGGGTGAAACAGCGCAGCATCACGAGGAGCAAGGGAAGGGACACAGAATCACACTTCCACTTCTGCTGCTTTTGTCAGGACAGTGACCTCCAGTAGAGGACAAGGTTGTATCCAATTAGGGAAGGGGGGATGAAGTTTGGAATCCCAAGATTTGCTTTCATTCAAGTTTAGTCAGAGCCCTGGGCACTGCTCAAGGGAAAAAAAATAGATTGTGACTAAGGATACAGATAGTTTTTAGCAACGGGAGGATAAGTCAGAAAAATTGGACTGCTTAAGTGTCGAGAAGATGGTTAGTTCTACCAGAAGCCAGTTAGTTCTACCAGAAGCCGGTTAGTTCTACCAGAAGACAGAGGTAAGAAGGCACCAATTCAGATACCATCTGTGGACCCCCATGATTACACAAAATACCTCCATAAACAACTGTCTGCAGGATGTGGACCTAATTTTCACAATTATAAATCAAATATGCTCATAATATTGTTGTATTATTTATTTTTACCTCAATGGTAATATTACTCTGACTTCATACTTATCTGCACATTCTTACTGCTGCAGAATTTCCTGGGTTTTAAACTACTTTTTTTTTTTTTTTTCCAGTGTAGCTACAGAGAGCTCCGACACTTTTGCCACTGACAGCAGTCTATGGATACGGTAGGACATGAATTAGAGAAGATCGGGTCTACTTGAAATGCAACAGAATTATCTGGTATACACCAAACCCCAAAGTCCTTAGCTCTGAATGTTATGATTCGGTGCAAATAAAATAAAATTTGTGAAATACAAGTCCTTAAATTATTTTAATAGAATTTTGAGTATTTTGTAAAAGGTTTTGAAAAAATTACTTTAAAATAACCCTTTGAACTGCTGGCTGACTTTTCTAAAATGTATAGAATAAAGGACAAAGGCTTCACAAGCAGCCTAAAGGATTTAAGTACCCCAAACCCTTTTAGTTTAATGGAAACAGGATGCCTAACTAAACCTTCAGAAATCCCACAATTCAAGATACTTCATTTATCAAAATTTCCATCCTCTCAAGATCAAAATGAAGACTATATCTGTAGTTATATAACAGAAAGGATCTTTCCATTGCTCTGGAATGAACTCTGCTTTCCCTAGACATGCATGTATTCCAAAAGCATTAACTTTACTGAAAGCCAAAATAAATTTAACCTTCATTTAAAGATTTTTGTTGCTGCTGCTCTTGTATGTTTGTTAATTAAATTGCAACCTTAATCATACCCAAGGTATGTGTGTTGTAAATTGTTTGACCGAAAAAAACCAGCAGTGAGTAAGTGCTATCGATGCCAATTCATCACAAGTGATGAGGTTGACAGGCCTTGGCATAATCATAGTGACTGTCCCAGGGGGAAACAAGTTCTCCGGCAGCTTTGCTAAAGGCGAGGTTGGCAACCTGACAACTGTAGCCCGTCCACACTCACTGGCGGGCTTATGCACCAGTGTGCTGTCGAAACCAGATGGCAGCAAAATCTTTGGCTCCAATACCCTACTTTTGAGTTAACAAAATTTCTACTGTTTTCACAAGCAATTTCAATAATTCCACAGAGTTAATAGCAGTGCTAGTTTTTCACCTTCTACCGATTCTTAGTGTCGAACACTAATTATGTGTGTTCTTGCACCCGTTGAAGCTAATTTGGATGTATACCAGAACATATATCAATCCTGACAGCAGGGTTTAACAGTCAGCGTGCTAATGTACCAAACCCTTACATATCTAAGGCTGTAGTGAAATTGGAACAAGTAAAAAATAAATTAATAAGTGACAGTTTTCCCCTTAGAAGTGTTAAAAAAGTAATCTTCAAGTATTAATAGCATGTTACAAGATTGTTATATTCCTTTTCAAATCTATTATTATCATTATTATTATTATGAATGTTCTTGCTATATTTTATTTAGTTATTAAACTGTTTTTATTTCAACCCACGTGGTGGAAATTTTTTTTTATTCTTCTCCTCATCGTTCTGGGAGTGAGAAATAAGCGAGTGGCTGCATGGTCCTTAGTTGCTGACTGGGGTTAGACCGCAACAAAATGATGAAAAACTACTGACATACAAGCAAGTATTAATAGTGTGTTACAGCAATGACTTATTCTTGCACAATGAAATCAGCAGGAAGTTTGAAACTTGTACATAGTAATGCTGTCTTAATCATAATTATTTCACCATTGATAACTGATCACCTGTAGATTCTCCATCATCCCAGAACAAGTCCCCAGAAGCTGTGTTGTTGTCATCCAGGGCAATTATAAGCCCCATTGGATTCTTGCGGCTGTGGAAAGAAAGACTTTGTTTATGTGTATACCAAGTATCTAAAACAGTATTAATACATCCTTCATGTTAAGAACGTGACACTCAACAGGGCTGCAATAATTTGAGAATTACATTAGATTAGTCCTTGGTTGCCTTTCATTTTCACGTAAATGGATTAAAATACATGGCAAGGTTACAAAATATTATGCAAATAAACCTGTAATTAATTGCTGAACCTGTAATGTAAGTGGTTGTGCAAGTGAGATGTGGCTCACAGTTATTCCCATATTTCAAGGTGAAAATGCTAAATACAACGGGCTGCTACTGAAAGTCCTCAGCCCAGTCTTGGAAAAAACCCACACAAAAGCATTCCGTTTAGAAGCATACCTTGCAACGGTCGTGTTAGCTGGTTGCTGAGTAGGGTAAATATATCCTCCTCTCAAATGGAGTCCCAGTTTGTCTGCTGGCAGGTACATACTGGTCCACTGTTTTCTCACTGAGATTTTTGCCCCCTTATTTACAGGCATGTAAAAGAGAATGGGTACGGTGCATGACTTGCTGCTGTAAATGTTTTCTTAAGTCCTGAGTTTCATCCTAACGCTTGCTTTTAAAAAAGGCTTTAGAAAAGGTTTATCTGTATGTTGATAGGCACATAAAGATAAAACAACTGCATGGGAATATGATCTAATGTCATAAATCAGCATCTCTCACTATTTAGTTTTGGCTCAGTCAACACAGAAAACAAGTCCTGTTGGGACTCTGATGTGAATACGGGGATCTGACGTGAACAATGTCCTTTTTTACACATCAAATGGATTATCACAGCAGTGAGAAATTTATTTGCAGAAACGAGATTAGTAGATTATAATTGCAGACTCTTGGGTATTACAATTATTTGTATTTTATTTTCTTACAAATACGGTCTTTGTTAAAGTTTACACTCAGTCTGTCTTCCTACCTGCCGCACTGTTTTCCATGCCACCGCATCCTTTCCTGAGCCACTGATTCATGCACTTACCCCACCATGTTTCAACTCCTATCTCACCATTTCCCTCCTGTGGGCTTTAATGTAGGTCTCTGTCACCAAATCAGGGCTAACCATCTCCTTTTGGTCACGTAGCCATTTAGAACATATCCCCATAGTTCTGCACTTACTTACCGTATCATACTCATACCATACTGCATCAGGAATATATGCTTGAATTGCGTCCACACCCTGAAAGGTGAACAAAGAAACGATTTCATATTTGAAGGCAACTTAATCCAATAAACTAAATTTTCCTATAAAACTAAAGTTCACATTGAAAAAAATCATTGATACTTCTCCCCTTCACTTTAATGGGTTTTATGATGATGTTGAGAAAGGAAGAGAGCAATCCAAGGACAATTTCTGCAAAGCTACTGGGAGACAACGGAATCACTGCTCTACAATGTGACAGCTCATTGTATGCAACCCAAAGTCACAATGTTTCAACTCCCAATGGCTCAGATCATATCCGCAAGTATCTCTATATCTTCTTTATTTTCAAATTTTTCTAGCCTGACATCTTTCAGATTCTTGCTTTCATTTGATACATTTAACAAACGGTTTGTCTTTCTCCATGGCATGTGTGTTACTGGCACTAACAATCATTATTTACAAGATTCTGCCACAGAAGAAGCCACAATCTATTTGTTTGCTTGTTGCTGAAACACAGCAAGAGATGATGATTCTGAGCAAATTCAGAGATGATACAAAGTTGAGGTGAATCAGAATATCAGACCAGATGACTTTGACTCCCTAGAGGACTGGAAAATAAGAGTGGGATTTAATAGCACAAAGTGCAAGACTTTCCATTTCAGTAGTGATAAAAATATGCTCTGGGCTCTCTCACTGGAAGTAATAATAGGAGGGGGGGAGGAAGAAAAAAAAAAAAAAAAAAGCAGCAAAGCCTAGGCTTGTTAGGAATCCATCAACAGCTGTAATGCAGTAATGTGATGTACCCATGAAAAAATAAATATAATCTAAGGATCTAGCAAAACCCATGCTTGCACTGGGGATAGAGCTGTGTTAAGGCTAATAAACAAGGCCCTCTGCAGTCTCTTTGCCAATAAAGTTTACAGGTCTGATCAAGAGAGAAGAGTTCAGACTAGAATAAGACCAGAGCAAATTTCCTGGCATCCTCAGGGAAATGGCAGAGCCCACCTCTGCGGTTCAGCTTGTTCAGCATAAAGAAAGGAGGGAGAATGAGATCTCAGCAGGAAATACATAGACACTAGAGGAGTCATAACCTTTAAGCTGAAAAACAGAATTGTCACAAGGCTGAACAACAAGGGAGCAGAACTGGAACTTGGTTTCTAATCAGAGCACTAAAGGAGTGACAGGAACGGTGTAACGTGGGGATTTTATGCTGCAGCCCCCTGCCAGAGAACAGAGCTGGAACTGGTGACTCGACGTGCCCTTGTGCCCCATGAGGTGCTTATGAGATCGATCCCAAAGCAGCCAAACCTACCGGGTCAAGTACAGGGGAAATAAGCAGCCCCGGACCCCACAGGAACTGCCTGTCGACACTCCACGTCACTTCATCAGAGTAGAACCTGGGCACGTGGGAAGGATAGAGCAGTGACTGGGCTTTTATGAACTACAGCATCCCTAGCAATCCCAAGATGTCAGGGCACTGGTTGCCTAGACTCATGACTGCAGAGCATCCTATCAAAATTGCCTTTTTCCTTTTTAATCTCAGGCAACGCGAAGATGAGAAGGTGAGGGCTTACTAGTTCAGTCAGCATTCCCGACACAAGGGTAGAGGTGTGCATGTGTTCTTGACACAGCTTACTCAAGAGTTTCCAGGCAAGGAAACATATATCCTAATATGCTTATATGATGGTGGAGAATAATTTGATTAGTTGACAATAACATCTCACAGCAACTGGGAAGAGTGACTGACAAT